ACAAAATGAGATTATTCTGCAGAATTTTCAAGCTGCTCTTGTGTATATGAATGTAGATGTTGACTATCAAACTACCAAAAGTACTTGAGTTTTGGTCTTTTTCCTCAAACAAAGCTATTTGAAATATAGCACACGAGTCATGTGGACTACTCTTATGGTCCTTTTATGGTATTTTAGACCTTTTTAGAGCTTGACAGTCCCTGGTGAATATCTTTGCCTTATGAAAAAAAGAAATTTCTATTTTTGTGTTACACTGAAGAAAAAAAAAGTATGGATTTGATCCCACTCTGGAGATATTTTCATTACATGAGCGGGAAAATAAACAAAATAACTGCCACTCTGTATCAACTGTGTCTAAAATACGAGATTAAAAGGTTACTAAATGTACACTACTGTTCAAAAGTTTAGGGTTGGTAAGATTTTTTAAAAGCTTTTGCTTATGCTGCATTTATTTGATCAAAAAGACAGTAAAACTATTTATTTTTTATTTCTGCGATAGCAAAGTTTACTTTTCAGCAGTCACTACTTCAATTTGGTACTCAAGAAACATTTCTTATTATCATCAATATTGAAAACAGTTGTGATCCTTAATATTTTGGTGAAAACCATCATTTTTTTTTTCAGGATTCTTTGATGAATAGAAAGTTCAAAAGAAAAGCATTTATTTGAATGAGAAATCTTTTGTAATGTTATAAATGTCTTTACTGTCACTTTCGATCCATTTAATGCATACTTTCTTAATAAAAGTGTAAATTTCTTTAAAAAAAAAATATTTTAACGGTAGTGTAATCATAGCCGTGCTGATATTTATGTGATATTGCTTAAACATGAAAAATTAAACTAGCCGGGGGGAATAACACACGTAGTACTGTCTCTCTCTCCTCGGCTCGACTGCAGTTCTGTTTCAGCGGCAGACCACAGGCCATCTGTAATCTTCACACCTCCAGTCCGGTCCTCACTCTTCCTCCTGAAGCGTCACATCATGGTGATGATGTACCATGCTCTGTTGAGACCCACTGTTCCCATGGCATGCATTTACTGTCTCCTCATGACAGCGTGTGTGTGTGTGTGTGTGTGTGTGCATACATGTGAGCCACCAGCCTCACACACTGAGGTAATGTGCATCTCTTCATCTCACAGGCAAACCCTCCCCCCATCATTGTGAACGCAGACTCACTGGATGCAGGCCCTTATGTAAGTATCTGCTTCATGCTCTCAGCACCTCCAGTAGCGCCTGCCTGCCTGACTGCCTGCCACGTGGAATTATCCCCCTCAACCTGGCCAAACCTTTCCCGGTGTACATGAGATAATAACAATAAAAATATGCACAGATTAAACGACAGCAGATGTGGACTGTAGCTTTAATGCCGAGTGCAATTATTATTTAACTGTTATAATGAGTTGTCTTTGACTGTTTATCGGCCCTATGCCTTGTACATGATTCATACCTCACATTTTTATTGCGCTGAGTTTATAGCGTTTCTGCTTTTACATAATTAATTGTAGTTGTGACCTTCTTGTGTGTAATTTGTTGGCATTACATCATGTCTAATGACTCTGTTTATGAGTGTATGTTTTTTTCCTTTTGTCTATTACAGGTGAATGGGAGTGATGGCATGTATAAATATGAAGAAATCATTTTGGAGAGGGTAAATATCATTCAGCTATTTTATATGTCTGTTTTTTAGGGTGTCCATCATTGCTGCCTATGGGGACCTGGACACTAGATGGCAGTAAATGTTGAGCTAATGCCTGGAATTGATGTAGTTTACAGCTGTGGTACATTTTCAAAACATTACACTGGTCACAAAACACTAAATTATATGTTATAAATGATATTAAAAATAATTTTGTTTAATCATCAAAATAAACGTTCAGCTTGTTAATCTAAACATCAATTCATTTAGTAGCAAAGATTGGTGCTGCTGAATGAAAAATGTTAAAGTATTGTAATGATTGATTTGATGTTGAATGTTGACTAATTAAACAGACATAAAATCCATAATACATGTAACACCTATTCAATATGTGTTCGTATATAAATTCGTTCAATGTGTAAAGGTGTGATCACTGGAGATATGATGCTAAAATGAGGCTTACAGTCAATACTTAGTGTCAAACAGTTGTCAATACTTTAGAAACACATATAATGATCAATCCATTTGATCATCTATAGATCTGTAGATATACCAAATTCTTTATACATTAGCCATTAAAATCAGTATGATTAAATAATAGTTGGATTAAATGATAGTCAAATGTATCGAAATGAATGAAAACATGAAATCTTTTATACCAGTTGTACTATGAACAGCAGTAACCTTCAATAAAAGACATGTTTAGACGTGTGGTGATTGTTACTTTGTGATTTTGTTTCTTGTACTAAGTCAGTTGAGGATAATAATTTTAAAAAACTGCATTTTAACAATATTTTTGGACTATTAAAAGAGTATTGAAAATGTACCACTTCTGTGCAGTTCATCATGTACAAGTGCTGTTCTTATCAAAATGTTCTTAAAAAGAATTATCTTATGAACTAGCATGTTTTTAACATTGCATGGTCTTTTCATACTTGAAGTTTGTTCAATGCAAATGAATCTAAATCCGTCTGCATAGGCCATTCATTAAACAGCAGTGGATGTTGGATTTGGGTGCATCTCTGAGCTTTCAGCATAATTGCAGGGCTGTTCTCTTAGTGCCATTTCTGCACGCTCAGGCCTAAATAAACTATGTTAAGATCTCACATGTTAAAAGGTCTGTGGGTGTGTTCGCTTCTTTAGTGGGAGCTCTCGCAGTGGCTCTGGAGCAGAAAAGGCACACTGGGATGTCTTAGCTCCACTCTGTACTAATTTGCTGTGACCGTTGCTCATTAATTATAGAAAATAATAAAGTGAAGTCTTTTCTCAGCTGTCTGCTTTAGGGCCTGTCTTTTGAGATGTGACTGTCAGACAGACCAGCCTGTCTCAGCTTTTTGGCACTGGAATGAAAACAGCAGTGTAAGATGTGATGAAGCACGGAGGGAGGAAATAGGCGGAAACGGATACGATTTTTGGATACTTGAAATGCGCACCACAAATTCCTATATTTAGCAGCAGAAAACTGTCCATGCCTACATAGTGTTTACAAAGTATTGAGAGCCAGGTGTCTTCCGAAAAGCAGATGCAAACTTTATCCACAAATCTATAATATGCTACTCATGTATGTCGTCAATAGGGCAACTCTGGCCTTGGGTTCAGTATCGCAGGAGGTGTGGATAATCCACACATTCCTGATGATCCAGGAATCTTCATCACCAAGATTATCCCAGGAGGTGCCGCTGCCATGGATGGGAGACTAGGGTGAGTGATACTTCTCTCAGGATCTAATATTTCTTAGTGCAACTCTAGCTTTTTTCCAAAACCTACTGAGCTGCCTACATAGGCATCATAGGCGGACTCCCCACTCAAAGGCTGTTTCAAAAGTTAGACATCTTAATTATCCTGCCTAGTTTGGCCAAATTCTAAGGCTGCATTGCGTCCTTTGCCGGTGGAGGCAATGCTTTTTGACAAGCTTGGTGAAAAATAAATCCAAGATGGCAGACATGGCGAGAGAAACCTCAATAGTGAAGTATCTATAAAAAGTTATTTGTAATTTAAAATGTAGCATTTTTATACTATTAGAGTATTAGCTTAGCAGCTTACTAACAATGTCAGCTTGACAACATGCTAATGCTAAACTATTGAAATTGAGTTCCCAGCTCTATTTGTTGCATATGGAGTTGCTGTGACTTTTACAGTTGCTTGGAGAAGTTAAAAAGCTTTAAATCCAGTCATTTCAATCCATGCAATTGAGAATTCTGCATAACGGCTAAACATTTCAAGTCTTTTTAATGTGAATTTGGCAAGTTTACTAACAGAATTCTGCTTGGTTTGAAAGTGACTTCTATGTGAGTGGTGCTTTGTGCATCACTACACTACTGACGGTGAACAATGAATTCACACAAAAAAATCCTTCCACCATTCTACGTGGGGAAATGTTATTCCATTACATTGCTTATATTATATTTAGATTATATTTACATTGCTCTATTCTTCTTGTGTCTCAGGGTAAATGATTGTGTTCTGCGGGTGAATGATGTGGACGTGTCAGAGGTTGTGCACAGCAAGGCAGTAGAGGCTTTGAAGGAGGCCGGCCCAGTGGTCAGGTTGCTGGTACGCAGAAGACAGGCTCCTCCTGAGACCATTTTGGAGGTCAACCTACTCAAAGGGCCTAAAGGTTAGAGGAGCTAAATGTGCACACCAACACATTTGGGACAGATGCAATAGAGGGTGCTATTATGCGCGGTATCCCTATTATAGCAGTTCTGAATTAATTTGAACTAGTTTTGAATACAGATTGACCCTATTTGCATCAGTGCACATTTTCATATTTTTCTCATTGAATTGCTTGTTTCTCTTGGAAATAAAATAAAATTTCGTGTTGACTTCAACCTTGTAAGATCTGATTTCCTGGTTAAAAATTTAACTCCATTCCATTCTTTCAAGGTCTTGGCTTCAGTATTGCTGGAGGTATAGGCAACCAGCACATCCCGGGCGACAACAGTATCTACATCACAAAGATCATCGAAGGTGGGGCGGCACAGAAAGATGGACGTCTGCAGACAGGCGATCGCCTACTGGCTGTAAGATTTCACCTGCACACATGCATCTGTGTAGTGTACTATATGTAAAGCCGCACATTGCATTCCTTTGCAGGACTTTTTTTTCTCCACTGAGCTACTTTATGCTTCAATGAACGCAGACACTGTTGTAAGCTATTATGTCGTATTATAGACGATATATCTCATGTGTGAAGGTTTATGGGCCACAGTGTGATTGATGTGAAGCTGAGCGCAAACTCAAACAAGGACACAGCTGTGATAAAGAGAAACACTTGCATGGCACGCAAGTGCCAGGGACTGAGCAGGCTATGACATGTAATAAATGGCATAATTAAAAGGCTACACATTATATATATATAAACTCTTCTCTGGTCATACAACTAAAGGTTAACCAATCCATTGGCTTCTATTTCAGAGAGGCGGATTCAGTTGTGAGCTCCAATTCGGTACAATTTCAAACAGACCTGTCTCTTTCAACACCCTCCGAACAAATAAGACACATTTTTACCCATCAAACACTCAGCTTTCTGTAGTGTGTACTGTAGGTGACCTTACAAAGGAAAAAGCACTATGCTTTATGCTTCAATGAACGCAGACACTGTTGTAAGCTATTATGTCGTATTATAGACGATATATCTCATGTGTGAAGGTTTATGGGCCACAGTGTGATTGATGTGAAGCTGAGCGCAAACTCAAACAAGGACACAGCTGTGATAAAGAGAAACACTTGCATGGCACGCAAGTGCCAGGGACTGAGCAGGCTATGACATGTAATAAATGGCATAATTAAAAGGCTACACATCAATCATGGCTGCCATAATTGCAGACATGTAAAGTGTGCATTTACTTCCTTTTCTTTTCTTGAAAATTATGGTTTCAGTCAGTGACTTTGATTTTTCTGGACATAGTGCCTAGAGTTGGTCTGCACTTTTAGTGTAGTAATCATGTTTTGTTTGTTTCTTTCTTTTTTTTTTTACGTATTGATTACCATTTGTACCACAGTTGTACAAATGCCATGGTTAAATGGTTAGTGTAGCAAAACCATGAATAATTTGTGGTTACCATGGTTTAACTATCGGAAATCTCACCTTTCAGAGTAGGCACTGATAAGCATGCCCCAGCCAGGTTCATCACTTGTTGCGGTTCCCTTAAATATTTCCAATGTGCTCTGTGCATATTTGGTTGTGTTATGAGTATTTGCAGCGTGTTTCTGTATTTGGTCACATTGTGAGTATTTGTAGCATGTGTGTTGTCAAACTGATGAAGATGTTTTCTTAATTTGCATTTGTTTTTTCAACTTGAGCTCTCTTGGCCACCGTAGATAAAATTTTTCCATCGATTTTACTGGGGATAGTGCATTACAAGAATGTAGGATTTAAAAGTGATACTCTTTTTAGGGTTGGACAAAATTCAAAATATAATTATTATATTATTATTATAATTATATTATCTTCCTATTAATTAATAAGTTGGAATTTACCATAAATTTAGCTACTTTAGCAATAGCTTCTTAGGTGTTCAGTTTGCATCATGTTTTGTTTTGAAGACTTTTGGGTAAATTAGCTGGGGTAAAAAAAAACATTCTGGGGAAGTTTCTCCACTAAGCTAAAATTGTTACTTTATTAAATAGAATAAATAAATATTTAAATATATGTGTTAAATATTTATTTATAAATATTTATTTATTGTTGCAGAGATAAGATTTGGTTCGTTTACTTGCGTTCTGCTTGGTTGACTTTGATTTGATTTGATTTGATTTGATGTCGTTGCTGACACGGGCTTCCTGGATGGCTGCTGAAGGAACCCCGGAGCTTTCGGATTGGTCGCTGAGGTGACGTTTGGATGACGTCCTTTTGGGAGACCCCTCGGGAAGAGGCTTCAACAGTCCTTTGAAAAGTCTCTGTTTTAGCAAGGCTTTGTGTTCTGCAGAGTTACGAAGTTTCAAATGGAGTATTTGAGTTCTGGAGTCCCGCGATGTTACGTCAGGGAAGCGCTTGTAGCGCTGTTACCAAAGTCTTTAAGAGAGAGAGAGAGAGCGAGAGTGTGCGTAAGCCAGCCGCGATAGGGCTTTGTGTCCATTTTTAAGCAGGCTGACTTTTGTCCAGCCCACAGGTCGTGGTCCAATCAGATGGTGGCTGCGGGGTTTAGCCACGCCCAATACTGTTCCTTATCATGCATGAATCCCATGCTCTCGTGTGAGGCGTATTCCTGCAAGTTTTAATAACTTCTGATAAAAGTATTATCACCAGAGAATGATACATACTATACAATTTTCACTAACGCCAATGTTCGGCGGATAAAACAAGCTTTCATTCAAGCTTAAACAACAGGTATTTTGCATACACAGTAATCGTAATTAACTACAAAGAAAAGTTATAAGGCAATGATTAAAATATCATGGTTTCAGTAACACATCACACATATTTAAGACATAAATCATTATTAGTGAACATAGTGGCCCTGATACTTTCAATAATTTTCCCTGATTGTCTTTTTGAATTGTCTGTGTACGTTTTGTTTCTTTGTCTGTGACACGAGAAACGTAAGGGTTTCCGTCAGGGCAGAAAGCAGATGTTCAGTGGGTCATGTGGCCTCACGCTGCATATCCCGTGCTTCCAGGCCTGAGGACGTGATTAGATTACCGTCCCTTTTCCTGTCTTGGATATAATAGTTGCACTCAGGGTGGGTCACAAGACATCGTGGTTTCTATATGTTGTGAACGAACCTTTTCAGTCCTTGATACAAAGAAAGCTTTGTTGTTTCTTGATTGGATCAGTCCATAATCACTCCTCTGAGTAGATGAGACAAGGCTGACAGGAAATCGACCCAGAATATTGGACTCATGTGCTGGGTGATTAGCAAACCTCGTGATGGCTGATATCAGTGTCCGTTCATATTTAGAAATCCCTACACCTTTCCAGCTTCCTCTCGTCCTTCCTTTTGTGACCGGACGGCTGAGAGCCGGAGAATGGAGCGTCGTCGCCGAGTGTGGGGCCATCCGGCCTCCGCTCCAGTCGCTTCCTTCCCACATCTTCAAATGTGCTGTCATGAACATTCTGAGACACGCCTCAGAGACCCGCCGATGTAACATGCGTGTGTGTGTGTCTGCCTTCGCAGGTGAATAACATTATACTTCAGGATGTGCGTCATGAGGAGGCTGTGGCTGCCCTGAAGAACACTTCAGACATGGTCTATCTGAAAGTGGCCAAGCCGGGACCAGTACATCTCAACGACATGTACGCCCCACCAGACTACTCCAGCAGTACGTACCTTCTTTTGCTGATCTCCATCCACCCTTTGCCCTTATGAGCTTAAAAACTGTCCATTTTATTTTTACTGCATTGATAAACGTGAAATGGACTTGCCAGTTATGTCAGTTCAAATATTATGGGATGATATTAGACTCAAAATGATTAATAGATGCACGCACAATTATCCATGCACTGCATCAATTTTATACATGTATCTTACTAACCACAAACAAATGCCTTTCAATTTGAGTCTGTGGAATTCTGGATTAAATGATTGTGCAGCGAGTTGAACAAATA